GGGGGGGAGGGGGGGGGGGAGCGGGGGTGGCAGGAGGGATCCCTGTCCTCGTGCGCTTGGATCGAACCGTCGGCGCGTTGAGCAGCTTGGGCGGTGGCCAGCATCATGGGTAAAGGCAGGTGTGCCGTGTGTGTTTGTGGACGCACCATCCTTGGTGAGCCTGTCGACGTCGGAACCGCCAGCCCTGCAGTCCACCAATGCCACCTCACCCGCCGTGTGGGCGCGCCGCGCAGCCCACGAGAGCCTGCGGTACTGCGCGCTGGCGCTGCGCTGCCGCGGCCCCGCGCCAGACACGTTCCTGGAGCACATCACCCAGGCCCTGGCACACCACCAGCAGGCAGCCGCGGCGACAGGCCCAGCAGGCGCGGCAGGCTCGGGTGGGGCGTCGCTGGCAGGGCCGCGGTCGCAGGTGCAGCAGCAGCAGCGGGCCGACGACCAGGGCGGATGGGGCGCGCAGGCGACGCAGGACGGCTGGGGCGCGCCCGCGGGTCCCGCGGTGGCGGGAGCGGCGGCGCCAGCGGGCCAGGGGCCGTCAAAGGGCGCGTCTGCATCCGAGGTTGACGCGTCGTACCTCAGAGCCATCGTGGACATGGTGAGATTCGCAGGGGGGTACATGGCTGGGCCAGGGGACATGCGATGAAGGCCAGCCTAAAGCCAACACACTGGGCGATGGGGGGCCTGCAGCAACATTGGCAGGACCGGCAGCAACGTTGCTCGGTGGGGGCCGCACTGCCGACACCGCACTGGCAAGATGGCATCCTGCAAACGAGCAGCCTTCCTGCAATCTCAAGCTCTTGACTCTGCTGCTCTCGCGCGCCCTCCCGCTCCTCCCGCCCCAGGGCTTCCCCCGCAACCGCACCGTCCGCGCGCTGATTGCGACCCGCAATGAGGGCGTGCAGCAGGCCATTGATTGGATGCTCGCGTTCGGGGACCTGCCCGGCATAGACGATCCATTGGACGACGAGCGGCCACAGGGCCGCCCACAGACTCCGCAGCAGCAGCAGCAGCAGCAGCAGCAGCAGCAGCAGCAGCAGCAGCAGTCGCGGCCGCCGCCATCGCCGCGGGGCCAAAGCGTGGGGCCTGGCCCGGGCGGGGTCTCGCAGGGCGCTGCGGCGATGGCGGGGCTGGCGGGGGCCGCGGGGTTGGCAGCGCACTACCCGCCGC